TCAGACAGTATCGTGTCAGGTCGAGGGAAGCCAAATTGTGCAAATGGTGGATAATGATCCAATCACAACGCGTAGAGGTTCAGAAGAATATTTTTATTTCAGGTCAAGGGTGAGAGGGACAAGACGATGCGAAACGATGGAGGAATGGTACATCCCATTCATTAACAAAAGATAAACGCGTAGGCTAAAATGTAAACAACAACCGATCGCATAGTCCGCGGGACGGAGCGAAGATCATCCTATCGAGTATCATGCAGCAGTGTTATTCATTTGGTAAATAAATATCATGAAGACCTCCTCCAGGATTATTCCCTATAACGAGCAAAATTGCGACGGTCATTAGGTCGAATAACCGAGGGCAGACGTCACTTCAGAACGCGCCCCTTTTATTAATAAATCTTTTTGGATGACTGAATGGAACGGTGCTGTGATTTATCAAGAACAGATTTGCGATGGGTTCAGGTTATTTGCCCCTAATGCAACTCAGGAGGTGAAGGCAGACAGTGCCGATACTGCTCAATTCCGAGCGTATAAAAAACAGTAAGCTCTGATGGCGCTCCGACACAACGGAATCGCCGCAGTTTATTCAAGCACTAAAAATAACCTGGAACTATGATATATATAACGAACCATAAAATCTTATCCGGTAGTCTCAGTGACCTAAATCAACGGCTACTTATTTCACTTGTCCAACCGATTTCGGTAGCCNGGTGATCTTTATCCGGATAATGCTAAGTGCACTGAATTTGATACCAGTGAAAAATGTAACGTTCAGATCAGTTTACGATTTTAAAATAAATCTTAATCAAATTTCCGGTTGAGAAAAGCTCACTGTTACGTCTCCCGGGTAAGTTAACAGCTACTCGCCTCTCAGACTATACATTATCTGATCAAGAAAACAGGGGACGACGGAATGTTGAGAATGATGAAAAATTTGTGTAATTCTCAAGCGTTTGGGCAGAAACCACTTATATAATCACAGGGGCTAAATTTTTAAATTCCTGGAGAANTAAAAGAAGTGAGAGACAGAAAGAAATATAAACTGTTCGAAAATATATTGTTCAACTTACTGTTACGTGTAGTTGAACATTAAGTTCTTAATTTCTTATCAAAAGTGATGTATCTACAATCCCTGTCGTTTTCGGTGGTGTAAGTGTTTGATCAATACAGACACCTAACATTACACGGAAACTTGGTGATATCCATCAACCATGTGTTGGTGCTCAGTTTAACCAATTGATTAGACATACCCAAAAGATAATGACTCTGTGGAGCAAATTTGCATCTTTGAGAAGGTTTTATTTCAGAACTAATGAACTACCGGTATAAAAAGTATTGGTTCTGGTCATACATCCGCCCATTTATTGATTTTAACAATGGTTAGCGACCAGTGGGAGGAAACGTTGTAATTATTTGGTACAGAATAAAATGTGAACGATCAGGCATACAATTCGGGGGCAAAACGGAGTTGTCTGTCGGAAATTGAGGAGTTCTGCGATCTGCAGGTGTCACTGCTTGATAAATGATGAATAAGGTAGAACAATGGGCGTAGACTGGCAGGACTGCGATCTTTTTCTTCCTTTTACCTAATACATAATCAATTCAGTCACAACAGAATTGACAATACGGCTTTCGGAACAGATGTGCTGAGAAATTTCCCAACTCTGGCTTATTCCGTTCAAGTGTACCAAAGGTAGTAAGATGGATTATCCTTGTGCACATAAGGCGTCGGATTACAATCAATTTCTCTGCACCCGATAAAAAGTGGAGTTGTAAACCATGAGAATGCATCTTAGCTAGTAGCAATCAAACCAAAGGAGAGTTTCCGGTGTACACGTTTTCATGCAACCTTGAGGCTAATTCATGATGCTATGCTAGTCATAGAACCAGACATATATCCGTGAAGGTGTTTGCTGAACAAGGCAACTGATACTAGAAGGTGGAATCCAGATCGGAATTAAGTCACATGATACATTGGATTCTGTGAAATCGCATTTTCTATTCTATAATTGATGTTTTAGGCTGGCGCTTTAAATGATGCACCCGAGGAGTATCACAGATTGACGTGTTCACAAACATTATTATATCGTACCGTGGAACTTGACGCCTCATATTTGGGATCTGATATATGAATGACATCATCGTGCGATGAGGAAATAGCTTCCATAAGTAATTTTGTTTGAATCAGTGACAAATGTACCGAACAATGATGGAAAGCTTAAACTGTACTTCTTTTTGGAAAACAAGGAGTTAATAGCACATACAGTATAAATAAAAGTGAGAACTTCATGCGATTTCTTTCTTGATAACCAGATACTTTTAGTTGTGTATCTCACACGGGTGACCACATGTATCATGGTTATATTCCTACTAAGAACTGTAGTATTATTTCTCAAAGTATCAAATTCTTTCTCCCCCTTGAATGAATGTTGTAACGATGGAAGTCAAATAACCCCTCCGAGGCGTAGTGCTATTGATCGGGTTTTTGCGAGGCGAAGTGAAACTTTGATGGACGGGTTGCAACCAGTGACGCAATAGGTAGCACCCAGGAAACAGTGTCTCGAATCTCACTACTTGAGGCACTAATTACGTTTGGATTACCATTACAGATGACGCTTCAACATAGTTGCGTAATCCCAACGGACAGGGGAAATGAATTCTGATTGAAAACAGGTGATTTTCGTTTTCACGAGACCAGTTGGTATTATAGTTTCGTTTTCGAATAGAGTATGAGCACCAAAATTCTGGTTGCAACACAATATTTTGGATACAATAGTGTTGTTTTTATTTGAATTTCTACACGTTAATATTTCCTGTGCTCGATTGTGCTCACTCGCATGATCTACACCGTGACCCCTGAAATGAACAGATCTGTTTGGTTTGCTACACCTGTTTTAATCTTAAAC